TCCTGTCATGTTTAATATTTTCGAGTTGGTTGTTGTACAATGTAACGCTGCTGCTTCGAACGCTGAACGTTGACTGATGCCGGCAATAGAGACGGCATCTGTTTTATGCGTTTTGCGGCGCGCGARCGGCCAATCGGAATGCTTCACCCGATTTCTCCCTCTCATGACTCAACCGACCAACGAGAGCGCCGGATACGGTTCCGATTTGTGTATAAATAACGGTGCTCGACACTTCGATAGACATACAACATTTGTTTTCATTCCGAACAAGTACAACTAAACCTATCAAAATGGCACGTACCAAGCAAACCGCTCGCAAGTCAACCGGTGGAAAGGCACCTAGGAAGCAGCTGGCCACCAAAGCCGCACGTAAGAGCGCRCCCGCCACCGGTGGAGTCAAGAAGCCACATCGTTACCGTCCGGGAACTGTCGCTCTCCGTGAAATCCGTCGGTATCAGAAGAGTRCTGAGCTGTTGATCCGCAAATTACCTTTCCAACGTTTGGTGCGTGAAATCGCACAGGATTTCAAGACCGACCTGCGTTTCCAGAGTTCCGCCGTCATGGCTTTRCAAGAGGCCAGCGARGCTTACTTGGTCGGTCTGTTCGAGGACACCAATCTGTGCGCCATTCACGCCAAACGTGTCACGATCATGCCGAAAGACATCCAGTTGGCTCGTCGTATCCGTGGTGAACGTGCTTAGACTCTTGCTGCTTGTAATCAACACCTATAAAAAGGCCCTTTTCAGGGCCACTAAATATTTGTATTATTTTACCGTTCCTCGATACATTATGATATTGAYGTTGTATAATACTTTTTCGATACGTCATGATTTCCTTAAACAATTTATCGACGTTCTTTAAAATTTTACTTAAATTATTAATTTATTGTAAACGTTTCGAAACGTTTCCCAATATTCAAATCTTTTTTTAATTAAATATWTTCGATGTTATTCTTATTRTCGTCGTTGTTTAAATCAATAAATAAATAAGCATTTCGGTTATCTAATTGAGTAACTGGTAGGGCACAYGTCTAACGACATAAACGATCTGTTGAGCGCTTGTTTTTTTAATCGTCAATATTTCGAAATGATAGGCTAAAATTATTCATTTTTCCCCCGATGACAAATAATAATCGTACGAATTGCGCATAGTTTGAATAAACAGCGATTTTTATCCATACTTTATTGACCTATATTATATTATTGAGACGAATACGTCGTAGGTATTCCTTAAACAATTTATTGGTGTTTAAATAAATTAAACATTCGTTTCCAAATAATTTTTTTAATTAGGTATAAACCAATAATAATAAATATTTCAATTATCTGTTATTAACGGTTGAGCTCTACAATTAATTCAAATTATTCGATTTTAAGCACAACCGTACGTTCCCTATTTACCAGGTATCCTCATCAAGACTCGACCGGTTTAGCTAATTATTTTTTATTGTCACCAGAAGGATATCCTTGCTGCTAATTAAATACCCAACGCCTATGAAAAGGAGACCTTTTCAGGGCCACAACAACATTTGATTCATTTTTCATTCTCGCGTTAACATTCAATAATGACATATTTTGTAGCCTAAATCTACATCGCCATCTATTGAGCAACTCGAAAACTGTGTTTCACATTTTTACCGATACTCTGATATGTAGATGGCAGAGCAAATTTCTAAATTAAACACCTACCTACCTATTAATATATTATTTTATTGTTATGAAACAAACCGGCGGATTCATTTTCTAAAACGACAGACGATCTTCTATGATATAAAATTCTAAAATGTCAAACTTTTGTTAAAAAAAATATTAATTTTTAATGCAGTTGAAATTTCGACGAAATTCGTTGCGTGATATTCAATGAACGACTTATTTMATTTTTATTCATATTTTTTATAGCCCTACTTTGCACAGTGCTTTGTAAGAAAATATATCACAAAAAAATTATTAAAAACAATGGGATGCGCAGTTTAG